TGGCGGCGCAGTGAAGCAGGATGAGAATCCCAAGGAGGTCAAGGCGCCTGCTCGACGGGGCAGGGGAGCCGCCAAGGTGAGGGAGTGGGCTGCACTGCACCGACGAGAGCCACAGTTATCCTGCCCTCTGTGCCTCTAATGCGCCGGATGTGTGGCTGCAGAAGAAAGCTGCCCAGCCCAAGCCCAAGCCGCCCCGTCAGATCGCCAAAGTGAGCATAACACATGGATGGATGGATGGATGCAGAGAGCATCGGTGGACGGCGTGTGTCTGTGTGTGTGTGAATCAGGTTGCCGGCAAGGGTCAGATGGTCGTTGACGACGAACCCGACGAGCCCATGACGCCCATCGTAGACAAAAAGGTGGGCGATCACCTCCACCCTCTCATCCACGTGCGACCACCACTCACTCACTCATGAATGTCTGTGTGTGTGGATGTGTGGATGTGCGTGCAGGTTGGCAAGAAGGCACCGCAGAAGAAGAAGGCCCCGCCCGCACCCAAGAGGAAGAACCCACCGAGGGTACGTTACGCTCACCACTCTGAGATGGGCACCTGAAGCCTTACCACCGACACGCGTGACTGTGTTGTGTTTGTGTCAGGGTGGCAACCGAGGCGGCGGCAACCATCGCAGGGACCGCACCCCCTCACCGCCGCGGGCACCTCCCATGGCGATGGACGAGGATGAGAACGCCCATATGGTCCGCACGCCGCCGCCGGGCATGTTCCACGCGTCGCAGCCGGGCAACGCTCCTCAGGTGAGGGACGGAGGAGCATCGACCACACGACCACCAAACACATACCTTCACACATTGGTGTGTTGTCGGTGTGTTGTGTGTGTAGGTGCAGGGTGCCCCTCAACATCCCGCGTCTCGTGGGTTGCGGGTTGACTCGAACTACAAGGACGTTAACAACATCCGGCCTGATGAGGTGGGCGAGGCGACTGACTGACCGGCAGCGCAGCCAGACGGGGCACACACATGTCCTGGGTATGCCTCATCCCCCTGTCCCTGTGTGTGGTGTGTGTGCAGTTGAAGCGGGCGATGGACAGCCCGGAGTTGTCGCCCTACCTGCACGTTTGGGACGCACGGTTCAAGGGAGAGTTCGACGGTACGCCCGCAGACATTCCACTCAACCGGGCCCACCACCCCCACACACGCCGGACACACACCCACTGTGTGTCAATGCTGTCTGCAGGGGGGCACATCGCCGGGGCCCGCCACGTCAAGTCGGTCAAGGGCGTCATCGATGCGTTGTGGGATGAGAACGGGGCCGCCAAACTGCCCGAGCCGCACCGTCAGGTGGGTCGTGACAGGACACACACACAGAGCCACGGCCATCCATGTGTGTGTGTCTGTGTGCGTCAGAAATTGGTTTTCCATTGCGAGTACTCCCAGGAGCGCGCTGTGTTGCTCCTGCAGATGCTGCTGAAGTTCAACGGCTGGAATGCGCCCAACAACCAGGTGGGTGGTTGGTGGTTTGGGTGGGGCGCTCGGACAGCTAAACCCACAAACGTGTGTGTGTGTGTGTGTGGTGCAGAAATACGAGCACATGTACTTGTTGAGAGGGGGATACAATGGCTTCTATTGCAACTACCCTGTAAGCCACACACACACACACCAACCGGGACACACACACACACACACCCCACTGTGTGTGTGTGTGTGTGTGTGTAGGACCTGTGCGGGCCGTATGTCAAGGAGGAAGCGTTGCCGACTGTAAGCAGCCGACACACCCCACTCCGCCACACACGTGTTCACCATAGATGTGTGTATGTGTCTATGTCTGTCTGCAGATGGGGGCCGATCGAAATAAGCGTGGCGAACAAATCAAGAACATGAGAGACAAACTCAACGTACGCAACGCCCGTGATCAGTGAACAAATGTGTTTATAGCTATCCATCTGTGTGTGTGTGACGTGTTCAGAAGAAAGCTGACTTCGTGGCTCTGGTTGGCAAGCTCGAGAAGCCCCCGGAGCGCTGCCTCAAGCCGCGCACCCAGTACCACTACTGAGCCACCCCGCACATTACACTACCTCTGGCAGCCTAGTTAGCCCATTGCTGCTCTGTTCTTCAGCCGCTCCATGAGTTAGCTTTAGGAAAGGGGCAGTGATGGGATAACTGACGAGGGCTGGCAGGGGGGTGTATGTGCACATGGGGGGTCAAGTGGCTGGCTGTGTGGGAGTGTTTGTCGTGACAGACAGACTGACTGTCTGTCTGTCTGTCTGATGGCCGGTTGGTATGCATACAGACAGACAGTGAGTGACATCAATGAGTGAATGGGATCACGCACCCACTCACAGCCATGGTCGGGTGAGGTGAGCTGAGGGGCTGCGTGATGGATTGCTGTGCACGGCCGAGCGAATGGATTGCTATGCTAAATGGACGGACGGGTGGATGGATACAATGCATACATACATACGTGTGACGTGTGTGTGATGTGAAGGAATGGACACCAAAGTCACGGGCACGCAGTGCGCTGGAGGCTGACTGGACGACCCGTACTCACTCACAGCCATGGTCGGGTCGGGTGGGGTGAGGGGGTGCGTAGATGCGATCGATGTGCACGGCCAAGCGCAACCGATCGCGACCTTCTCTCGTCGTTCGTTGCTTGTATTTGGTTGTTGTAAGGGCACCTGAAGGTCACAATCACAAATCAGATCAGCAGCGGCTGCGCCTCCGGACGGACAGACAGAGAGGGGGCCCGGCCGGTGTGTCTCTGACTCGGAGGCGACTCGCGGGACGGAAGACAGAGAGGCGGCCTGAGCGACTCGGGTGGGAGGCCAACGGAGGGAAACTCTCCGGTGTCTCTGTGTCAAGCCGCATTGCATCTAGAGTGCCCCTCGGGAACTAATTGCGGCACAACAGCGGCGCGCAGACAATTGATTGACGCGAGAGGATATACACACACACATATACACGCACACACCGATGGCTCTCTCGTCCGTCCGTCTGTCTGTGTGTCTCTCTCTCCCATATAGCCAGACAGACAGACAGACAGCCAAAATTCTCTCGCGGTGCGCAGCTTCTGCGTCAGACGCCAAAAGCTTCGTTGACAAGCACACCTCACAGACGTGAGTCTGTCGAAGTGTCTCTTGTGGTATCGCTCGTTGATCTCTGCCGGCGGTGCATGGCGAGACGACCCCAGGGCCTTGTAGAGGTCATCCCCGACAGGACACCTGCAATCGCCTGAGACGCAGAGGTGGAGACATAGGGTGGCAATGAACGGCCTTCATCTGAATCGCTGGCCGTCCCGCCGTGCGTGTCGCCCACGGCGACAACTCGGCACATGATAACAACAGGCAGCCCGCACACACGCGGGTGCCCCACACACGCGGGTGGCCGCTCGTGTGGCCTTTCCGACACACTTGCGGGTCCAAGAGGGAGGCAGATTGGAAATGACGTGGGTGCATTCATAACAGTGACATGGATGCGTATCTATGGCACTCGAGTAGTCTGCCCCACCCCACTACCTGCTCAGTGGTCTCTCAATCAGTTGGTGCGCAGATGGCGAGCCCCCCCCCCACCCCCCCACCCACACACCCACATCCACACACATAGACCCCGATATCTGTCTGTCGTGAATTAGCTCGCTGTGCCGCACTGTTCCTCTCGTAAGGCGGCAGCCGGGCATTCGGTCGGCCTGCTTTGCTCTCAGGCCTGTCTGTCTGTCTGTCTGTACACTAAGTGGCTGGCTATTCACACCGGCAACTAACTATCTCCCCCGCTGCCCTCCTCAGTCCGTCCAGCCCTTCTCATCGTCGACTCCCTTCCTCTCCTCCCCATCAGCATCACTGTCGTCCAGCGGCCATATGTCCACCTCGACGGTCAACTCGTGCTTGGCCGGCCAGGCTGCCATGTACTTAGCCGAGCACTGCATACCATTGAACCGCCGGTAGGCCATGGGCAGACGCACCTCCATGCCGTACTCGGCCATGTCGTCGCGCACACGGCTCTCGCGGAGCAGCAAGTCGAGCTCGCGCTGGACTTGGTCAGCGTCGCTAGGGGCGGTGAAGGTGTCTGCTCGTTCCCTGAGTTTGAAGGTGGCGTGTTTGGGCCGCACCTCATGGACGAGGCGGAAAAGGTCCCGCAGCCGCTCGGGGACGCTCTCGGCTCTCGCGTTGTAGAAGCGCTGGGCGCGGAGGTTGTAGGTGTGCCAGTCGTTGGCGTTGTTGCTGTCCTGGAGCATGGCGCAGGCCCTGGCCAACATGTGGGTATCGGTAGGTTTCATCTCGATGCTGAGCTCTTCCACTGTGGGGTACTCTCGGGTGGTGTGGGGTGAGGGGAAGGCGACAGGGGCGGCCGCCTTGGTGCGGGGCTGGTTGAAGAAGAGCGGCTCGTCGTACTTAACCTCCAACTTCTGCCACCAGAGTGAAAAGGATTCGTTCATGAGGAGGGATATGGCCGTGCCATGTGTGTGTGCGTGTGGGTACCTTGAGCGGCTTGGCGATGCCCTGCTGAATGTATGCGAGCGCCTCTGAGGCCATGATCCCGGTCATTTTCGGACGATCGTCGAAGTACACGTGTGTGAGTTTGGGGAGGGATGAGAGGAGGCGGGAGAGGCGGTTTGGCGTGCTGGGCGGCATCAGGTACTCGGGGTCGCAGGTTGGCCAAGTCTCCTTGTCGCTGTTGTCCGTCAGGTGCAGCTCCGTCACGTTACTGAATCGACACATCCACAGACATTAAGCGAAGCGTCTTTATTACTCTCTCCCTCTCTCCCTCCCTCCATCCCTCCCCCCTCTCTCTCTCTCTCTCTCTCTCTTTTTCTCTCACCACAGTGACTTGAGCGTGCTATCATCGGTCAGCCACTGGGGGATGCTGTTGAAGGACTCGGCATCGACATCGGGGGCGGTGGCGAGCTCGACCTCCAGGCGCCTGGCGCCGTTGAACCGGATGCCGCTGAAGTGCGGGCTGGTGGGATCGCCCGACCAGCTACAGCAACCCTCCAAGGTCAAAGTGTCCCCCCCTGCCGCGTGCCGTTTGATGGTCTCCACCAGCTCGAGGGTCTCGGCGGTCGGCGGGCCCTCGGTGGTCTCACCACAGCAGTCTATGGATGTCGTCCGTCCCTCCCTCACCACCTCCCACC